AAACTAAAATCAATGTCTTTGCATGGCAGGTTACATAGCAACAGACAAATTATCTCCTACCTCTACAAGATCATGCTCTTAATGGATTGTGTTTCAGGGGTCGGACAGAGTTATATTTTGCTTTTTACCTTTTCTAAATCATCTTAAGACAGCCAGCTACTCCAGGGGTCTCACTCTTGACACTCTTCTTTGGTGTACGAACCAGACTACTAGTATTCTCACTTAGATAAAAAAACCCAAAAAATCTTCAACCAACCAACCACCCGGTTCCAAATTCAGAAGAAAAACATCAGATTAGTGCTTTTACAGCATCTGAATAATAATATTGTTTCCCAGATTGAGGAAATAAGCCATTAGTTTACTACTAAAGAAGATAAAAATGTGCTGGTTTTCCCAACTCCTGTAAGTATACCATGTCTTTCTTGGGTACATTAGTGCAGTTGAAACCACTGGAAAAGATTTCTATGGACTTCACTAATCACTGCATATGTGCCTCCTGAAAGCTTTTCTTCAGTACTTTTGTTTTGTTTTAACTCAAAATCCTAGGTTTAAAAGAATTTAACAGTAGTGAAGCTTTAGAGAGAACATCTTAAGAAAGAGCTCGACCATCCACTGCCTGTGTTTCTCTTAGGTCATGGAAAAAGCAAGGTTAATGCAACTTAGCTTGCAAGGAAGAGGGCTGTAGTGACTCAGGTTATGCATGATTGCTTACTGAGCTGTGATAACTTGATTAGGAGTCCAAGTACCAAGTGTTTGCCTGGAAATTCACCTTTTCACAGGGCTCACTTTCAAATAAAACCAGTTGCAGAGACAATTAAGTATGGACTCAAGCCTGAATGTTTTAACAGCATGAATATTTGTATTAACAAACCTGCTTTGGTCTGGGTCTTTGTATTTTAGATTTTAGGTTGTATCTGAACTCTGTTTACTGGAGGTAGACTGAAATGAAAAGTCCAGATGTGTTTCCTAAGAATGCTTTACTTGGACTTGTTCTTCCTACTGTGTGAGGTGATGGCAGATCCAGTAGCTTATATGGTGATGTCTTTAAGGAAAAGCACATAAAAATAGTCAAATGAAAGAAAGTAAATTTCAAAGAGTTGAATTTAGTGTGGGTTTTTTTTTTTTACTTTTTTTTTCATTTTACTCTAAAGATGAAAATTATCCCATATGGATTATTACTCACATCTTCCCCCACTAGAAAGCAGATCCTTGTGGAATGAAAATTGGCTTAAAAAACTGAAGTATGAAATTCAACTTTCTATACATATTTCAGATTTCAGGTTTTGCATATCCATGTAGCAGAAATAGTAATTTGACTGAATTTCTCATCAGAAAGGAGACCTTTAGTAACTCAGACTTATACATTGCAAAGGACAGCTTTCTACAAAAAAGCCTCACCAGATTCAACAATTCTTATAAACAACTATTACTACTACTAACCAGTTTTAATCATTTTCCTTGTACTGATGTTTAAAGCTGAGGATAAATATATCAAAGAATGAAGTGTAGAATCTGACTTGAGAAGGAAAATGTAAATAATGCTTAAAAAAATATACAGATTCAGGGATGATTTTCTTCCCATTAACTCCCAACCACCCAACTGTAGATTCCACAATGACTTGGGTCATCCAGACCCAAGGATGGAACAGACTTGTACTGGGACACACAAAACCCCAGGGAATCGAAACATGCAGCTGTAGAGGTTCGGATTTATCCAGAACAAAATCTACATAATTTTACTTGAATTCCAAAGTTTTATTTTGTGATCACTGTGCACAGACATAGTTGATCACACACACTTGTGGTAATCATACAAACACCACCCTGCAGTGGCACCACACAACACTCGCTGGCAAACACACAGGTTATAGAAAATTTGATACATTCAAAAAGAAAAACCAAATGATAAATTGCTGATATTTTCCATTTTATCCTCTCATTGCTGGAGAAACTACAGCAACACAACAATGGAAAAAAATTTTATGGAACAACTTGAAGAACAACACGAAACTCTCATTAGGGTGAGAGATGAGAAAGTTATTGCAGTACTGGCACATCTGAAACTTCCACAAGGCAAGGCAGAGGACACTGCAGCCACCTTCCCTGGCCAGTGGGCAAAGCACCAGCTCAGTCTGGAGAATGGAGTTGCTTTTAACTTGTACCACAGGTGGCAACAAACTACTGGGGCGATGTGGAACCATCATCCCATGGCTCGTTCAGTCTGTAGCAGCTTTCTTTGCAGCCACACAGGAAGTGTGTGCCCATCTCAGGTAGGGCAAGAGGTGGGCAAATGGGATGGCAGAAGAGAAAAACATGACCCCTTGTTGTTAATGTTGTACCAGTCCCTTGAGCTGTATAACAGGAAATTCTGTTGAGCCATCTCTACCCACACATTCAGACCTAGGCTCCAAATGCAACTGTAAGAAACTGTAACATGATTTTATTTTGTTGCAGAAGCCCCATAAAACTGCCATATCAGGTCATCATGAAGTTATCCATTTTTAGAAATTTCTATAATAAACATTAATGAACAGCACTAAGTGCTAAATTCTTCTAATTCTAATAATAATGGTTTCCAATCTTGCCACCTTGACTCAAACCAGATTACATCATACCATGTTAGTAGCCCTAACTGCAATATAAGGTAATTCTCAATCTGAATGAGAAGGTCTGAATTTGCCAGTCTCACCCTGCAGGCAGAAAAGGAAGAATTTCTTCCTAAAACTGTCCTAAAACTTTTACAAAGTCATTCACTTAGCAAGACTGATGTAACTCATGGAATAGGGAACTAAAGGCACTGAAAGATAATATTTTCATTTGCTATATATAAAATTTTGTAAGTGCTTATTAAAAAACATTTTTCTTCAGTTCTCTCCACAATTACCTTCTATCTATGATTATCAGTTGGTATAATCCTGATTCACTCTCTCTCTTAATAGTAGCATCAAATCCATAAATTTTATTTTTTCATTCTTAATTCTCTTTCTCATACATATTTTTATTTTCTTACTGCTGTACCTCTATCCCAGTAAAAAAGCATAAATTCTGGCATAAAGGCTTACATCAATTTTTTTTTCTATTACCTAGTAGTAAAATTGCCCTATCAGGTCAGCTTACATTGTGTGCAGTAAATATGCCACATACAAATAAAACACAGTATAAAACTATATACATAACTTAGTAGTAACAGCTGAACATTAGGATCTCTAATTTTAATTTACAGTGTAATTTAAAGTGTAGAACAAAACAAAAACCAGATTATCACTTGTGGAAGTATGAAAAAACCCCAGGTATTGGAAAACAATTCTCCGTCTTGTGTGTGTATAAATATAAATATATAAATATAAATCATGGAATCACAGAATGGCCTGGGTTGGAAGGCACCTTACAGATCATCTAGTTCCAACCCCCACCATTGGCAATGACACCTTCCACCAGATCAGGTTGCTCAAAGCCCAGTTCAATCTGGCCTTGAACACTTCCAGGGATGGGGCATCCACAATGTTTCTGGTCAATCTGTGGCAGTGCCTCACCGCCCTCACAGTGAAGAATTTCTTCCTAGTATCCAATCTCTATCTACCCTCTTTCACTTCAAAGCCACTAATATTAACCCATTAATTATTAAAATATATCTATACTTGGAATATATATATATTCATATATGTATACATATGGATACATATGCAAATGTTCTCATGAAAACGCTCCAAATGTATGGGTTTCTGGATTAGTAAATATAACTTGTATAAGCAGTTGGCTCTGCCTACATGCTGCACTTTCTTCTTGTGTCTTACTCCTACCTGAGAGCAGCTCTAGGACTTACTGACTTTTCATGTAAAACAGCTATTTAATTTAAAAGTGTTCATTACCCCTCAGCATCCAGGTACCTAGAAGGATGAAGAAAAACTATTATCAAAATTGCAAACTGCAAAGATGATGTTCATTTAAAAAAAAAATACCATGAATGGTTCACCTAACCACCAAGAGCCCGCTGAGTTTTCCTGTCATGAAATTAAGAAGTTTTACAAAGCACTAAACAGCTTAGAAACTTAATGTGAACTAGGCCTGGAGCTTCAGAGTTTAATGCCCAAATAAAAATTAGTGTTTAAGTAAGAAATAGGCACCGAAATTCCTTTGGAGAGATCTGAGTGTTAAGAACTAACAGGTCTCAGAGAAATTTTGGCTCCTAAGACTTACTTTAAAAGGAGTTTGAAAAGAAAAGCAAAAAACAAAACAAAATAAAAACCCACAACCCCCTCCCAGCTGCCCCCCAAAAAATCAGAAAACCCCAACCCTTGGAACACTGCATGTTTGATTTTTTGTTTTAATACTATGCCCTACACATACCACCAGAGTTTTCTCACTTCATCATGAGGTTTAGTTTTTTCTTTTCATAGTAAAACTTCTGAGTCTATTCTTAAAAAATAAAATTATTTAAGTATATATCTTCAGAGAAATGCAGTGCCAACAAACCCAGAAACTACTACTATTACTAGTCAATCAGGATTTGCAAGGAAACTCATCTGGACCCAGAGCTGCCTGTTTGTGCTAAGGTGGGAGATGTTCAGAAAATACAACTGAAGGTTAAAATAGCTGGAAAAGGAACGAGAGGTCAGGGAAGTGTCATGAGTCTTCTTTCAGTTCCTCAGTTCTCATGTGCAACCTGAATGATATCTTGGGAAACGTGGAGAAATATATGCTGGTGACATTTCAGGTTTGCTTGCCTTGATTCTTAGCAGACCCCCACTGGGATCTCTTCCCTTTTCCCTGCTACCTCCTCCTCTTCCTGGAGGACATCTCCCTGTGAGCACAGGGGGATGCTCAGCCAGCTGCTGCTCACAACCCTGGCTCCCCACTGCCACTTCACTTCTACAAGTCCATATTCCCCATCCCACTCACCACAACACCAATTTCACAGGTGCCAAGAAAACCCTGTCTCTTATTTCTTTAATCAGTTGCTGCTACTCCATGCACTTAGTGCCATGGTTTCGTTGGATCAAGGGTTGGATTTGATGATCTCGGAGGTCTTTTCCAAGCCAGTTGATTCCATACTCCTACCTCTCGTTGCCTCAACCATCACCCCAGCTGCTAATAAATTTACCCATATTCACTTTAACCATATTCAAGGGAGAAGCAGTTCACAATGCCACATAAAAAATACAGGTTGTGCACTGCTATAAATGAAAAGAGCATGTTTTCCCTCATCCTCTGAGAGAGTATCCTGATTTTACACAATTCCTTTTTTGGTTTCCCCATTGTCCACTGAAGATGGGAAGTCAGATTCTTGTTCTGCACTCGATTTCCTCTCCCCTGCGTAGTGGTTCATTCCTTGCATTTCTAAAGTTACTTTATTCCTTTTGGCAAATGCCTGGCTGATCTCATAAAATGTCTTATTTTTTGTTTCAGGCAGGACGAAAAACAGGTAGGTCGCTCCCGCAAAGCAGATGGCAGCAAACACTAGGAAGCAGTAGGTCTGTAAACCAGCCTGTGAATAGAAAACAAAGGAAATAGTCATGACAAAAGGGAAAAAATCCAGAAGAAAGGCAGCATCAGGGACATTTTGAAAGAAAAAATGAAGTGTATGGAGCAATTTTTAACCAAGTACAGCACATGCTGGCACTCGTTGCAAGTCAGAGTGCTGAGAAGTTCATAAAAATGCATGAATTGTTGGTTCTTCCAACACTGCCTGTGGCCTGTCGACAGAAAAGCAGGTTCCTGGCAAAGGCGTGTGGAGCTGCAATCTGGGTGATACCAGGAGACACCGGACTGAGCTCAGGCACTGCGGGTACGGGGTGGCAGCAGGGCTCCTGCAATGTGCTCAACGGAGCCTGCAACTGCTGTGGCATTTGTGGAATTCAGGCAGATGTTTCACTGGGTTGTTCTGCACACCACCTCATAATTCCTAGGTACAAAAACTGCTGCATGCTTCTGCAATATTGGGCACCTGTACACAACCCATCGAAAAACTGCCATTGCCAGGGGCACCTTCATCACTGTAGTTACAGGCTATGAGATTTGCAAAATGAACAAGATAAAAGCCCCAAATGGTAGACATTTGTATCACTCATAAGGTTATGGGAGCTTACAGCAGGAAAAAAGAAATCCCTAAAATGCGTTGACTTTCATGCTAGAAAGTGCACAAATTAAGTGAAAACAAAGTACAGACTGTATTTTAATGTTTTGGATTTTACTTCACTGCAAAAATAAAGAGAGAAGGCACAAAGAAATTAATTTATAAATAGATTATAAAGGCTCCAACCAACTAATATGAGTTGTACTTCACTGAAACGTAAGTATTTCTTGCCTGGTGATTATGAAATCGCTTAACACCTTTCAGTTACCTTTCAACAGTACAGTTGTGAAAAAAACATTTGATAATTACAATATTGCCAGCTGTGCTTTGTTGAACTACCAGCCTTTGAGGAAACCTCCCTTCCTCCTCTGTAGATTTACGCTCTGTGTCCTGAAACCAAAAATCCATTTGACTTTCATTAATGAGGCTGAATGAAACCAAAAAGGGTATCTCCAGCTCCAAAAATAAAGTGACCTTTCTGTGGTGCCTTGTGTGAACAGCAAACCCAAGGAGACCTGGATTCCTTGCACATCACCTCAGGTGTTGCAAGGCTGAGGTTACCCCAGGGAAAATCAGTCAGGACAGAGGAAGCAGATGTGGCTTCCTAAACATGTGTGTTTATAGATGCCATTTGAGGTATGTAACTGAAACAATTAAGGCAGAACCAGACAGTGATGCAACCCTGATTTTGCACATTTTTGTAACACACTCCCATCATTGCTGGTTACACTAACCCTACACTGCAGGCTGGTTTAGCTCCCTGCTTTGGGTGCTCATGGTGTATGCAATTCCCAGCATTACTTTTATGTTTCACTTGCTCAGTATACATTATACATGGTGTGCTAGAAGAACATCAATTCCTGTGTGGAACAAGAAAATAAAAATGTAAAAAACCTTTCCTGCAGCTGCTTTTTAATACCATGGCTGATTGCCAGCCTGCCTAGTTAAACTGTTTTCTGTTTCTGTGGATAATTCATTACCTAGGTCAGCCTTTTAAATCCTGCCTGTAATAAGGAAAGCTGGAAAGTGCATGCTCTGATATTGTCTATGGACTCTTGAGATCATCAAAGCTTTTTCGTTAAATTCTAGAAGCATGAAGTTCTGAACAACCTGACAATCACAAGACAAACAGCATGAGTGATGTGGGGGGAAAATATCCTGGCATGGGAACAGATAGAACTTTCAAGCTTATACAGAGGCAGAAGCAAATGGATATAGTAGACAGGAAAAAATGATTTCACAGTGCCTCATAAATCATGCTGTCATGCTAAGAATTCAAATTTTACATCTGGATTTTCTGCATCTATAATTGTAGTTCAGCTGGATGGTGGAGTTTCAATCCAAAATCATGTTTTTCACTTTTTAAAATTTTACTGAATTAAATATTCTCCATTATGACAACAAACAATTAATGCCTCGAACAAATAAGCCTGGCAAACAAATGCAATAAGTTATCTGCATCTCTTGGTGGGGCAGCCACAACTTTGTTCCACCTTTTTTATCCCTCTCTATTTCTTTGCTGTCCAGGATCTAAATAAATTAGTGTTTATTATCTTTTTTGATTCATGTCTCTGTAAACCTTTCCTAATTGAACTGAACACTCTCATGAGTGCGTGATTTATTTGCAATTATTTTACATTTATTGGTACTTAATTTCTGCAATCCCTTAAGAAGTAGCCCTCAAGAACCTCAAGAACCTCTAAATGAATTTCCACAGAGAATAAGATAAAAATTAAATTTTGTTTTAAATCCTGCAAGTGGGGATTATAGGATTTATACAAGACTTTGCACTTGTACCAGGATTTGCCCAACGAAGCCATAATTCCCAGATAACAGCACTGCAGGGTGTTGCACACAAAGCCCTTTTCTCGCTGGCCAGTCTTCAGTCTCAGTATTTCCTTAAAACTGGTTATTATTTTACTCTCACAGGGAAGGAAACCACTTGTATTCATAAAACTTTTGTAACTCATTCAGAATTCAACTCGTATCACCCAAACCTGCATTTGGCACAGAAGAACATCACGTGTTAATTAAATTACTCGTTATAAGCACAAAACCTTCTACCTGCACTGCACACTGATAAAGGATGTAGGACAGAAGTACAGGATAAAGTGGAAGGAAAATGTTAAATCACAAATCCTAACTCAGGAAAAGCCCTTAGCAGGACATGGGTGGGATACAGTTCAGCCTAGATGTTCATTTTTATCTATTTCTGATATATTTTGAATTGCCTGGTAGTGGAGGAAAGATCTGAGGGGTTGGAACAAGCAGTAGATTGGCCAAAGCATATTGGATGTGCCCATCAGGGGGTTCAGAAGGTAAGATAATGTGATGGAAAAACATTAAATGCTGAGTTATTGAACAATGGCTACTACAGAACAGGTACTGATATACAGATCTGACAGAAAAAACGATCTGTCTTTGTTCCATGAAATGACTATACTTTCTCTTATTTATGTTATATTAGATATTATTCATATTATGTCCAAGAAACCTGTATCCCTTGTTTATTCTTTGACATCTGTAACCTCCATAGTCTCCTAACTAATCCATAGTCTCTCTTCGTTATTTTACTCCTTCCAGCTGTGTAGAGATGAGACTCTCCTGCTGCTACTCTGGAACTAAAACCCCAGAGTTTTACTGATCTTGAGCCGGGGTGAGAGTAAAAAAACTGAGTAAGAACTTCAACTAAAGTCTTCCGTGACTAAGCCCACATATGCTGCAACTCTGTGTGTTTGGGCCAACAGACATGGTCTCAAGATTCTTTTCTGACACGTGCACTGTCAATGATACAAGAATAATGACAATGTGTACGATAAAATTTAAAAGGTAAATATTGTTTCTATGCTCTGTGACATTTCACTAACTACATGGAGTTGAAGCCTCGGCGTTCAAAAGCTTGAATACTTGTATCCACCAGAAGAGTAACTTGACCCCTTAACAAAATATACCACACCCAAGGGTTAAAAGGGGAAGGGAATGGCAGGGGAAGAAGCAAAGGCAAGCCAATTCTGAATGGAAGTTGTAACTAAACACAAAATGAATACAAGGGAAGTATGCGGTTTCTGCTACTTCTGTTTTCTCCCGTAAGGACAAGTTACTTCCTCAAACTCAGTTCCCAGCAGCAGCAGCAGCGTCAACCCTGGCCATGTGAGAGTCACTGAGCCAGCCCCATCCAACCCCCCCTGCCACATCCACTCAGGCAAGTCTCTTCAGATAACATGTTCTGTTCAAGTTCAGAACATGCTGCGATCTTCACAAAGCTACTTCTCTTCCCCCAACACCAGAAAGGCTTGCCGGAGCTAGGAACACATTTTCTTAGCAAGACCTGAAGGCATGACTTTACATGCACCGTGAGAAACCCCAGGGTCAGAAGGAAGACAGAATAAACCACTACAATACTCTGTGCTTTGCAGCCATTTTCACCTAACATTTCCTTAAGCATGACCTCCTGCAGGAACATCCAAGGTTCAAAGGTGCCTGACGTTTCAGGTGGTTTCCTAAATAACAACAGCTCTGTGTCTTGATAGATAACCATTCAGAGCCAAGGTCAGATACACAGGTGAAGATCTTTGAAAGGCCAGGCTTCCGATGGGTTACTGAAGGTCGTCTGCCCTCCCAGGTGCATAGGGGAGGGCAAGAGAACATTAGACACTTATTGATGCAATCTCCTGAGGGAAGCACCTACTTACTCAGCAGGCTAATAAAACCTCTTCAAAGCAAGATTTACATTGGGTTTTTCAAGGCTGATGAGGGCTATTGTTATACAGGATATTTAATAGTTAAGCATAAACTTTTAAGTACTTCACTTTCTATTTGCATACCAGCTTTCTAAGGAGACCATTTAAAACACAGCATTTCTGCAAATGTCCAGCCAGCTGAATCCTGAACTACTCACTTTTATTTTCTATATTCTCTTTTCTGCAGCTTATCAAGGCTTTGCATTTGTCAAAAAAAAAAAAAAAAAAAAGAAAATCAAGAAGTGATTTACCTAAGATGCTCATACCACAAAAAAGAATCAAAGGTGAAGGAGTTGGGCAACCCCCTCAAATCAGACTGCAGACATGGCAAGCAATCAGGTCTGACTTTGAGGAGGATTAGATATAGCTGCATAAGGAAGGTATATGATTAAGTAGGTGCAGCTCTGCCACATTTTCACAAGGAAAAGGTTAACAAACGTATTTCCAGCTTGTGTGGGGCTGCTATGCACATTAGGCAGAATGTACAGGCATTTCCTCCACCTTCCTTTAAATAAAATGGTAAAGAATACTTGATTTTTGCTATTGTCAACTGACTTTAAGTGCTCAGAATGAACAAGCAAGAGTTCACTTTTTTCAAGCTAAAAAGTAAACTAAAACAAATAAAAAACCTAACATTGAAATGATCAGATTTCTGATTTTGATTTTAAGAACTCAACACTTTGCCACTTTTAAAGTCATCTAGCTGAGAACAGTCTTCCTGCTAATAGCTTACATGCTGTGAACACCATAGTCTGGAAAAACCTAAAAGTAGTTGAGAGGAACATCATGACGTGCTATTTTATGATGGCTGCTTACAGACTTAACACATTCTGTAGCAAAGGTTAAATTCTAAGCAGGACTGTGATACTGGAAACAGTAAAATAGATATTCTAGGGCAGCTATAGCAAAATTAATGAGCAAATCAACAAATTCTGAATCAATTTAACAAACTTAACACATTAATATTTTTAAAACAGAACTTCTGGCAAATGCCAAATGTGATCCTAAATTCTCAGCTTGCAATGTCACAGCCCCTTGGCACTGGCAATGGGTGCTTGCATTTGGAAGTTGCCATGAAGATTAGAATCATGAGATGGGGGTCAAACAGGATATTGAAGTGTTGAGGTCAAATGGTAATGGTTAGATGTCTTACAAAAATGATCAGCAGCAAAGCTGTTATTCATGTAGGCATTCAACTTTGCTTTGAATTGATATAATCCAGTGAAACAAAAGGATGAGAGAGTTTGTGTCCTTTACCCCTTGTCCTTCTTCATTTCCAGACACAATTTAAGGTTCTGCTGAAAGTGCAGGACAATGAAGGACAGAGCACTAAAGTATAATGTATGAAACATATTTTCTAAGTAAAAAAGAGATACATTTTTAGACACGAACTGCAATTTCAATCACGACCCTGACACATTCACTATCTCCTCATAAAAAGTTAACAGATCCTTATATTTTATACCTGAAGTGGGTTGCTTCTAAGTAAGAGCATTTTTTTCCTCATGTCTAATCTTCTGATAGCCTACATTTCATTTTCTCATCTTTGAGGGGAACTTTAGCCATTTACCTTAATATGGGGGCACTGTAGTTAATTTAAACATCTGATGTATTTTAAAAAGTTTAAAATAGCTTGGCTGAGGGGATCTATGCATAGGCTTCTGTGAACACCCTTGTTATTCAAATTCTTATACTGCATAATAAAAAATGTCAAAGGATATTATTATACAGTAAGGAAATAATAAGGAAAACCAAAAGGCAATCTTGCTGAGTAAATGACACTCGAGGCATGAGAAGGAAAATATCAAGTGTAAAAATAAGGAAGAAATAGAGCAGAAGTACAAGAGAGCCTCCTGAAACAAGTATAATGACTAAAAATCTAACAGAACAACCTGGAATATGAGGTAAGAATACATCAACATGTAATGAAAATAACATGTAAAATTATTTAATTATTACTCTTTAGTAAATCTTTGTATTTACACAATACATTACAAAAAGTGAACAGAACCTCTTTCTAGATAACATGTAATATATGGTCCTGCTACACCATTGGATTACAGAAATCTGTCCCTCCAAATTTACTGTTAATGAAGAGTACTAGTTTAACACAAGCCTATTCTGCTGCACCAGAGGTTTTCCAAACTTTTAGATTACACTTTTCTGCTGAGGTAGTTTGTTGTCCCCTCTGCCTGCTTCAGCTCATTGCACCTATATACATACATTCTAATTTCTGATTTACCAAGTGTCCCTGGTCAAACCTCAGCACCTCAAATAGGTAGTTATGAGGGCTGGAAAAGTAGCTACATTTAATTTTTTTTAATTTTTTTTTTGATTTGTCAAAAATTTATTTGTATACTAGCTTTTCAATATTGTCTGTACATTTTAATGTATGACTCAAGGCACAGTTTTATTATATTTATCTACAGATGGTTGAAGGGCAAAAATCTAGGCATTCAAATTAGTTAATTGGTGACATTTGGGGAAGTAACTACTGGTTGATTTTTTTAGTAACTCTAAAGTTAACAGATTTGTTTCTCAAACATTTTTGATAATTTTGTGGAAGGACACCAATGATCAAAAAAAATGGCTGCTGTTTCTCAAGCAATCAGGTTAGTATTTAAATACTTAGGCAGGATTGGGCATTCATTCTGTGAATGAATTTTGAAGGATTTTTTTCCTGGTTTAGATTTATAAAATGAGCTAAGAAGAGGATATTACCTTCCTGTAAAGAAGAGGATATTACCTTTCTGTAAAAAAAACAGGTGACTCATAAACTGAATTTTGAGAATAAGGTTGACTGAAATAGAAAAAAGGGAAAGCTCAGGAAAAAGAAGACGTTCTAGTTTGATCTTGTGAAAAAGCTTTAAAATCAAAGTCTGAGTAACAGTGCTTTCATCTCGAGGTGCAAACTCTAAACTTTTTCTCTTTTTTATGTTCTAAAGACCAAAAAAACAGAAAAACCCCTTCAAGCCGGAAATATAATTTACCTTCATTAAAAATAAACTGGTTAATTTTGTAATCACAAACCAGGATATTTTTATGACACATAATGATAAATTCCCCAAGGTACTTCATTTGGATGCAAAATCATTCAAAAAGCTTTAATATGCACATGGAAAATTAGAGAATGTAGTTTTCCTTTTTATTTGAATTTACTGAGGGTCTTTTTAAACAATTCTCACCAGGAGATCTGTCAGGTAGGATTAGCAGGACAAGAAGGGAGTGTTGAGTACCTGAATGAAAGGGAAGAGCAGTCCGACTGTGAAGTTGGAGAGCCAGTTGACTGTTCCAGCTATCATGAATGCAGCCGGCCTCTGGGACTGCTGGAAAAACTCTCCAGTGAGGACAAATGGAATGCCACCTGAAACACAGAGTCCAACAATACAGTGGTTTTAGTAAACTCCCCCTGCCATCAGCAGTTTGACTTACAGAGATGAATGTGCTCCGTGTTGCACACCTCCATGACCAGCATTGCTCTGCAGCTCTCTGCTCAGGTGTATGCAGGGGCTTCTGAGACAGTAACATGTGACTTGTCAAAATCATATTTCAGAGAAGTGACTTCTCTCTTTCGTGCCATAACATCTCATGTTTTACATTCTTTTCAGAGATGGCAAGCAGGTAGCAGAGCAGTGAATCCACACAACTGCTTCCAGAGTACTATGTGACCTGCTGTTTAGTAAAAATAAGAATGCTTGTTTCTACTAAAATGCTTGAAATTCTGAAAATTCAGAAATACTCCAAAATACTTTTAGACCTTAACAGTTGGGAAGATGGTTTCAAAGAAACTAACACTATTTTTTAAACAATTATTACCCATTTTATTTCAGCAATAAAAAAGACAAAACATTTGCCTCTCTCCAAGTGTACTTGTCATTGATGCTTATTTAATACATTCTCTTACTAAGATACACTGCTGGCACTTCTGGCAAGGTCTGTTTCTCCCATCAGCCAAGGACTCTGACCTCCATAATAACAAGCTCAGCTGAATACCACATTTGTCACTCGTGTTTCCTTCCACTTAGTCAGTGGACTATTTTGTACAGCACTGGCATATTGCTGGCCTGACAGTAACCCCTAGGGAGTAGCTGTCTAGTAGATGGAAGTCTCAGTTTATGATCTTTGGCTTCTTTCATTCCCACTGGATATTTCAATAGAAATATTTCTATTTTTAGAGAATAAAACGTGGATTGTATTTGCTGATTTGCTACATATTTCAGTTAACATTACATATTAGACATGTATCTACTTGCAGAATTGTCTCATTATGGTTTGGAGAACTGCAAACCTAGTAACATCAGTATTCTGCTTCTACCAGTTTCTACCTCTAGGTCCTCATGTGTGCTGGTATTACCTATCTCACCATTTAGCTTTGTAGGCAAAATCCATGTACACGTGTACTACGTAAGTCCTTTCTCTGTTTTAAGCATTTTAACAAGTTAGTGTGAACAATCAAAAATGTATTTATAGAAGCATTTACTTTCAAAAGCCTCTGTAACAATCCTGATTTACAAAACATATATAAATTACAATGAAAACACCACCAAAGACTGGTTCTTCTCCTTGCATGTCCTTGCTTGATCTACATGCTCATCTTTTACACTGCCCTTACTCTTGGACGTATGTGAATACATCTCTAAGTGCATTATAGCAATGCATTGCCCCTTGTGCTCTATGGCACTGAGCTTAAACACACACACCAGAAGCTGTCCTACGAGCAGTGTGAGATAGGCACTTATGAACACATAACATGACGTGAAGATGACACGTTATCAGATATTCTTTCATTCCAGATCTTTCAGATGCAGAGGCCATGAATATGTGCATAAAAGAAAGGCAATGTGGTGCAGCAAACAGCTGTTCTCTCTCATGAGCTAATGTGACTTTTTGTGAGAACACATCTAATGTATTAGAAAAAGCTTCAACTGAACTTTCTGTCCCAAAGACTGCCAGTACAGATTACACCAAAAAAGTAGAGAGCAAACAAATGTATTTACTCCTACTTTATACATAGGAAGCTGAAATATGGATAGTTTAAGCCTTCCAAACTGCAGCTTTGTGTCTTTCTAAAAGATATACCTAGTATCAGAATTCTGTGATTAAAAAAATTAACCTCTCCCAGCAGCAGTCTGAACATGTAGAATAAGCAGCTAAACATGCATAACTGAACAAAATTCAAGCAACATGTGGTCTAGCAATCCTTGATGGCTTCCACTGGCCATCCTGTCATATACTTGGGATTTGGTTCAAATGGCAGCAGTCACACATGTTCTGTCAGCATCTGCTTTAGGTCTCAAATGCCATGAGGTAGCAGTTTTCCAGGACCCTTACCCCTTGCTGAGAGGAACTGAAGGACTAGAAACACAGAAATCATGTAAGATGACTTATTTATGATCATTTATTCTGTCGTGCCTTTGCTGTAGGACAATCTACAGAGGTGTTGCTGTTCTTGTCAGTATAATAAAAAATGCTGTTGGAAAATGCAGCTGGAAAAAGAAACATTGTACAAGAGAGGAAAAAAGCTGGAGGCAGAAAAAAAAAAAAGAAAAGTACAAAAGAACAGAAACTTATCAGAAATTATAAATATTATGGAAATGAAAATGCATGGGCACTATCTTGGAAAAGGGACCTTGAAAAGGTTCCTTGAAATTCCAATGTAATTTCTGAGACATATTAATCATCACTAACTTTCAAAGGTTCTGTGGAGGAATGGGAAGGCTGGCATAGACAGACCTCCTGAGTTTCTCATGGCATAGACAGACCTATCCACAGCATCACAAAATAGAGAAAGTCAGTTTCTGTGGAGGGATGACTTAGAAAGGTCACATGGATGAACCAAGGGCCTGAAAAGCAATACTTGAGTTATGTGAAGGACAGGTCAGGTCTAGAATCATGAGAAACTGGATGAAGCCAGGCCATTGCTGTATATTGCTATATGGCTGGAAGAGCACAGACTTGACCTTAGGATGATGAAGAGGAGGGCATGTGAATGCCTGCCAAGGACCATACTACTGTGAAGAACACACTCTGCAACTGAGTGAAGTGGAAAAAGAAATTTAGATGAGCCGAAGGAAAGATGACCTTAAGACACAGCCAGTGAAGGCACCTGAGATCAGCTGAGCCTACAGCCCCAGGATTCCATGCTCAGCCATTTCAAGCCATCAGAGACGTGCTCAAGGTCTTCCTTCCTCCTGGAACTTACTGTTCTTTGAGATACAAATCTGAGTGCATGGGGTCGAAAGAAGCTCTGTTATGCTTTGAGTGCATAAGTTGGATCTGAGCTGTAGAAATCACAATATTATGGCATCTTACCAACCACTCCTTACAGTCTTTGTGCAAGGCACCCTGTATAATCACTAGGCCAGATAGGTCCATACTGGCCTGTGTTCAAACGTGGATGCTTGGAAACCACTGCCAAAAGCAATTCAACCAAACCACTGTATTTTTGGAACAGTCTTTAAACACTTTTTCATGAGTTTTGCAGCTTTAATGTGTATTTGAATGTGGGTGAAATAATTCACTGAAAAAGCTACCTGACGATCTTTCTCATGGTGGATGAACCTGGCATTGGCATTTCCCATGGAAGGCTTTCTTAACAATTTTATCTTTATTTTAGCTCTGATCACAGAATCAAAATTGTGTATTAAGATTTTCTGTAAGAGTTTTTCAGCAAGGTAGCTTCCAAACAAGAATTTAAAGAGGATGCATTAACCCCATAATTATAGTGATTAATTTCTAATGCTTTGTTCTTTTCAGCATTGCAGAGAATATAATGGAAGAAGCTCTTAACATACTGCAGTGGCAGTAAAGAAAGACTGTTATACCTGTTAGCAAACTACATCTACTGGAAAATACAAATGTCTTATTGCAGGACTTGTATATCAACAAGCTGTTTAATGAAAGGAGATTAAGCACATGACACAATTAGACATGAATAAATACTTTTGAATCTGCATATTTTGTTAATTTCTCTTTGTAATTCGTCTAGTGACATAGAATCAGTGTCATGTACTGGTAAAAATCCAAGTCTCTACCGAGTATTCCTTATGTATGAATTTGGAATGTTAGAACAAAAAAAATATTCTTGGTATCCATACAACAGATTTTCAAATATGTATTTAAATTTTCACAGGTATCAACATATTTTCTTTCGAAAAATTAAATACATATATTTACCATTTTGTTCAGTGAGCATTTATAAATAAACACTGCTTAGCAGAAGTTACATGAATCAGTGCAAAAATCTGAAAACAGAAAGCATGAAAAAGGAAGGAAAATGCTGAACTCCTCATTCTATTTTTATCTAGTACCTAAGTGGAAATTGAAGTTGTGGTTATATATATGATTTATGAAAGGAGACCATTAAAAGAATAAATGCCTAATACAAACCAGAGAGATTTATTACAGTGGTAAATCACCTCTAAAGGTGCTGGAAACTTTGTGCTCTAAGAACCAGTAAGGAGAAAGGAACTCTGTCCCTGAGCTAGCAGCTCATCTTTCAATACCCACCCAAGACAAATCGCCGTGTGTTCAGGCAGTGGCAGCCAGAGGGTGCCCAGCCCCACCAGCAGGACCACCCACGGCCACTCAGCCTTGTGACCCCCTGCACGACTCAGCACCCCAAATCCTGCCCATACAGGAGGGAGTCTGGGAATCCCAAGAGTCTGATTAGGGCAAGAGACCCCAGACCTTCCAATTCCACGCTTTGAGAGGAATCTTCAAAGGGAGATGTTTCGAGAAAACAAACTACTTTGCAACAATGTTCCCCCCAATGTTTTTTTGGGGAAAAAAAAGTCTGTGCAGCTCTAGATATTATCAAGCAAAATGGCTTTTGTCTGCAAGGTAAGGCATGTAGGGAAGGCTGGTATATCCTAATAGGGTTGGAAGATAAAGTACTGTCTCAATTAAAGGTTTTGCTATTTGTAAGTGCCCTCTAGAGTGCAGCTGTGGGAGAGAAGCAATGGAAGTGAGGCAAAAATCCTGAAAGATAACTGCTGGAAAAACAACTCAATATTCTTCAGTGAGAGAGCAAAAGGCTGTTAGTTTCCAGCCAGATCCTAGCTATTAAAAAACCCCAAACAAAAAAAACCCCAACCCAACCAACAAACAAACTCCCCAAAAGTCCATGTCAAATCCCATAGGAAAATATGCTGCAGGAATACTGCCAGTGAGGGATGCAATGCAACTACTGAGTTTCTTACATCTCTGTGGGTCTATAGATAGGAGAAGAATTTTGCAAAATGCGTATCTCAGTCTTTATAGAGGTGTTCTGTCACCTGTTGAGATTATTTTAACTTGTACTTTGTATTTGATAGAATAATACACCACTAAATCACAACATTAGTCAGATATGACAACTGTATT